AATACTAGATGCCAGATCTACGAAAGACCTTAAAGTCCAGTCTGATCTAGCCACTGGCCTCAGAGGCAACAGCTCAGGTCCAGACGTGTCCTCAAGAGGCTTTTTTTTTTTTTTTTTTTTGCGGTACGCGGGCCTCTCACTGTTGTGGCCTCTCCCGCTGCGGAGCACAGGCTCCGGACGCGCAGGCTCAGCGGCCATGGCTCACGGGTCCAGCCGCTCCGCGGCATGTGGGATCTTTCCGGACCGGGGCATGAACCCGTGTCCCCTGCATCGGCAGGCGGACTCTCAACCACTGCGCCACCAAGGAAGCCCCAAGAGGCATTTTTTATAGCTGTCTGTACTCCCACAAGGGATCCTCTGCACAGTATTCCAAACAGATTTCCCTAGGGTAATAGAACTTGCAGGTTTTGGAGCAAAGACTAGCACATGCATTTTACATGTACTAATAAGAACTACCATTTACCGAGTGCCTGCTGTATTAGACTGCTAAATCTACACCCAAGATTTAATTTAAGCCTCATGATAACTTTGAGTGAGAGGTATTTTTATCTCCATTTTACAGATGAGCAAAGTGAGACTTGGAGATTTAATTAACTTGCTCTGGCACCAGCTGGTATAGGATGAAGCTAGGGTAAATTGTAGGTCTGTGTGGATTATAGCTGCCCTCTTTTCAGCATACCCACTGCCTTCAAAAGGAGCTACTGCTCTGCAGAACACATACATATTGGATATTCCCAATGCTATTTGCTTGGTCGTTGCCTTTAGGTTAGGAGTTCTTAATCTAGGGGCGATGGGAACGTACAGGATATACAAATTGGCTTCAGGAGATCATGAACCCACTGAAATGGGATGCAAAATTTGGTGTGTATTTGCCCATATGAAATTTTCTGGAGAAAGGTTCCATTGCTGCCGTCAGATTCCCAAGAGGTTTGGGACTCAAAAAGAGGTTAAGAACTGCTGCAGCTAGATCCAAAGAGATTTTTTCCCCGGCTGGAAAACCTTTCAAATGCCCAATAACACTGACTCAGGGAAGTGATACATCTGGGGCAATAAAATCAGCTACTAAATCCTACACAGAAAAGCAGGGTCAAAACTACATTTTGTAAAGTCATTGCAAAGAGGATACTTGCAGAGACACTGAATTCCATCTCTGCCTCAGCAGAATTGTTTGACATTTCCCATCTATTTGTTCCAGATATCTTTAGTATAGTCATCCCTCCCTATCTGTGGATGATTGGTTCCAGGACCTCCTGCAGATACCAAAATTTTCAGATGCTCAAGTCCCTTATACAAAATGACATAGTATTTGCATATAACCTACGCATATCCTCCCGTATACTTTATTTATTTATTTTTTTTGCGGTACGCTGGCCTCTCACTGTTGTGGCCTCTCCCATTGCGGAGCACAGGCTCTGGACGCGCAGGCTCAGCAGCCATGGCTCACGGGCCCAGCCGCTCCGCGGCATGTGGGATCCTCCCGGACTGGGGCACGAACCCGCGTCCCCTGCATCGGCAGGTGGACTCCCAACCACTGCGCCACCAGGGAAGCCCTTTATTTATTTTTTAACATGTTTATTGGAGTATAATTGCTTTACAATGGTGTGTTAGTTTCTGCTTTATAACAAAGTGAATCAGCTATACATATACATATATCCCCATATCTCCTCCCTCTTGCATCTCCCTCCCACCCTCCCTATCCCACCCCTCTGAGTGGTCACAAAGCACCGAGCTGATCTCTCTGGGCTATGTGGCTGCTTCCCACTAGCTATCTGTTTTACATTTGGTAGTGTATATATGTCCATGCCACTCTCTCACTTCGTCCCAGCTTCCCCTTCCCCTTCCCTATGTCCTCAAGTCCATTCTCTATGTCTGTGTCTTTATTCCTGTCCTGCCCCTTGGTTCTTCAGAACTAATTTCTTTTTTTTTTTTTTAGATTCCATATATATGTGTTAGCTTACGGTATTTGTTTTTCCCTTTCTGACTTACTTCACTCTGTATGACAGACTCTAGGTCCATCCACCTCACTACAAATAACTCAATTTCGTTTCTTTTTATGGCTGAGTAATATTCCATTGTATATATGTACCACATCTTCTTTATCCATTCATCTGTCGATGGACACTTAGGTTGCTTCCATGTCCCGGCTATTGTAAATAGAGCTGCAGTGAACATTGTGGTACATGACTCTTTTTGAATTATGGTTTTCTCAGGGTATATGCCCAGTAGTGGGATTGCTGGGTCATACAGTAGTTCTATTTTTAGTTTTTTAAGGAACCTCCATACTGTTCTCCGTAGTGGCTGTATCAATTTACATTCCCACCAACAGTGCAAGAGGGTTCCCTTCTCTCCACACCCTCTCCAGCATTTATTGTTTGTAGATTTTTTGATGATGGCCATTCTGACTGGTGTGAGGTGATACCTCATTGTACTCCTGTATATTTTAAATCATCTCTAGATTACTTGTAACACCAAATACAATGTAAATGCTATGTAAATAGTTGCTGGTGCAGAGGAGTTTTGGTTTGGGGAACTTTCTGGAATTTTTCTTTCCAAGTATTTTCGATCAGAGATTGGTTGAATCCACAGATGCAGAACCCGTGGATACAGAGGGCTGACAGAATTTTTGACACATCTGATACAGAATGAAAGGGTATCAAGGTACATCTTAAATTCAGTATAAGGGCTTGCCTACAGCCTTAACACAAAATTGTAGGTGATAATTTTTTTTTTGTGGTACGCGGGCCTCTCACTGTTGTGGCCTCTCCCCCTGCGGAGCACAGGCTCTGGACGTGCAGCGTCCATGGCTCACGGGACCAGCCGCTCCGCGGCATGTGGGATCTTCCCGGACCGGGGCACGAACCCGTGTCCCCTGCATTAGCAGGCGGACTCTCAACCACTGCGCCACCAGGGAAGCCCGGGTGATGATTTTTAAGTGGGCAAATATCTTTTATCATCTCTATCAACTTTTAATGGAGTAGGGTGTAAGGAGAGAAGATCCAGCAGCTACATGACTGCACTTACGCTGAAAACTGCGCTGGGAAATGCATTCACTTTCTTGCCTTTGCGCATGCTGTTCCCTCTGTCTATAATGCCCTTCCCCACCTCTTTGCCCAACAAACTTGAGCTTAAACTTGCCTCTAAAGCCCTAGATCAAGATCTTCTGTGACTCTTCTAAGCTATTCCCATCTCTCTCCTGCCAAGTAGAATGGTCCTATTCCTAGCCTCTGTGCACATCTCTATCACTGTATCATTATCAGTTCTTGTCTGCTTCATCCAACCAACAGAGCCTCGGAAGTGCTGGAGCTCTGACTTATTTATGTTCCTTGTCCCTAGCCATGTATTACTTGTTAATGATAAATGAAATGCAATCCAGTAACCTCCAGAAGTGGTCTGACTCAGCTGTTGAGGAAACAAGAAAAGGCCCAGACATCTAGGAAGGTAAGAAAACAATGAGGTTAAGAAATGAAAGGTTTTCAGGTAAGAAACAGCTGAGGTAAGAACAGGGGCCCACACTCAGGTAAGCAGAGAAAAAAAGACGTTTAGTCTGGTTTACAGAGAAGAGACTTCTTGAATATGCGAACAAAGCAGAGGGAAAAATACTGACCGGACTGAAAGAAGAATGGGGATTACTCGAGGTATTGCAGGCTCTAAATGGATTGATTCAGATCCAGGAACTCAGTGACAATCACCTCAAAGAGAAACAGAGCTGGATTCTGGATCTACTGCTCTGTTGACTCAACATAGTTTGTATTTTTGGATATTTCACTAGAATCAAAGTCTGAGCTGCAAGGGGCCATAGAAACGATCTAGGCCTGTCCTTTTACGTCACTGACTGAGGCTGGGAGAGGCAGCCTTGAATCCAGCCCAGGAGAGAGTCTTGAGCTCAGCCTGAGCAGGTGGACATGTCAAGGGGCTCCAGGAAGAGGGATCTATTCTGAAGACTGTGACCCCAAGACAGGTCTCTGGCTGCAAGGGATGGCTGCAAGGGCTCAGAGCCTGGTTTCCTTAGGACACAAACCAAAAACGGCATTCAAAGAATCAGGTAGTTGGTCAAAAACAAGACTGATAAACAAACCCAGCTTTTCCTCTCTATCAACACAGTATTTCCTCTCTGTAACGGGTTAACAAACAGAGGAGTTTGTTTGCTGGAGAAAGCATAATGGGCTTTTAGTTCTACCCTGCGACTGTGGGAGAAGTGTTAACAGAAGGCAGGGAAACACAGGCCGTAAAGCTGCCTTTTTGCTTGGCTAAACTGTATGCAGATTGGATAATGACAAACATCTTATCTACCTCTTTATCCATCTCTCGCATCTTGTTTACCTTGTCCATATATGGCACTTTCTGCGATTCTGGCAACTTTGTTATGGGTCAATAGAGCGCACTAGTTGCCCAGAACACACCTAGGGGACTTTGTCTCTTTGAGAAGTCCCTCCCTTGAAATTGCGTTGTCTAGACGCTCTTTACTAAAAGTAAATAAACTGGGATTGCATGCCTATTCGTGCAAAGTGCTTGGCGTAGTAACAGGCCACGGTTTCCTGTAAGCCCCCCTTCAACAGCTCTCAGGAGCTCGGAGCCTTGAGTGAGAGACCTGGAAAATCGATTCCGTTCTCTGAACCTCAACGTCCGCATCGGCAAACCGGTTCCCTTCGAGAATGTGGCGAAGACCAAAGGCGACCACGCGCTGGCCCAGCCGTCCCGCCCGCCTAGGTGTGTGCCCGGCGCTCGCTCCCGGCCCCGCGGCTCTGCACACCGCGCCGGGTTCCGCGGGCCTCCGAAGCGCTCGGCCCCAGCACCCGATCTCCTCCTCCCGCCTCCCGGTCTGACGGGTGCCGGGAACCCGGCCACCGGCTCCGGACCCTTGGCGCCCTGGGCTGAGCGGGCGACGCAGCCGCGCGGCGCGCCCCGCCCAGACATCCCCGCGGGCGCGCGCACGCACGCAGGCGTGGGGGCTGCACGACCCGGGCGCGCGCAGGGCCGGGCCGGCACGACGGCGGGAGCGCGCGCGGCTCCGGGAGGCGGTGGCGGCGGCGGAAGCGGCGAGGGCGGCTGGCGTCCGGCTCTGAGGTGGTGGTGGTGGCGGTGGCGGCGGCGGCGGCGGCGGCGGCGGCGGCGGCGGCGGCGGCGGCTCCGGACTGGGCTCGGCTGGGAGCGAGCGAGGGTCGGGGGCGCCGGGTCGAGAGCCGATCCCCCGGCTCGACCATCCGCCAGCCGCCCGGACGCCTGGGCCGCGGAGTTCGTGTCCCGGCTCGGACCCCGGCGCCCAGCCCGGAGCCGTAACCTTGAGGCGGCGGCGGCGGGGCCGGGCCGGGCCGGGCCGGGGGGCGGCAGCGCTGGATCCGCGGCTGCCCGATCGTTGGCGGGAGATGTCGAACCCCGGGACGCGCAGGAACGGCTCCAGCATCAAGATCCGTCTGACAGGTACGGCCGGCGGGAGGCCCCCGCCGACACCCGGCGCCCACTCGCACCCCGCACGGCCCCTCATCAGCCCCGGAATTTCCCGCAGGGCGCCCTGGGGAAGTGGCCCTCCCCCACGCCGGCCGTTGTCCCAGGACCTGGTCGCCCCCCTCGGCGAGTGCCCCTCGCTGCTCCCTCCGGCCCCGCCCCCTCGCTTCTCCCCGGCCCCGCCCCCTCGCTTCTCACCCCCCCCACCCGCCCTCTCGCTTCCCTTCTTTCCCCCCCACCTGCCCTCTCCTCTCGCTTCCCCCCTCCTGGCCCCGCCCCCTCACTTCTCCCCTCTTGGACCCCCTCCGTCTCCCTCCCCTCCATTCCTCTCGCTCCCTTCCTTCTCCTTCTAGCCCCTCGCTTCTCCTCTCCTGGCCCCGCCCCCCGCTTCTCAACCCCTTCCTCCCTCAGGATTTCTTCCCTCTCCCCTCACCTGCCCCCTCTCTTTTCCCTCTCAGTCCCTCCCCTCGCTTCTCGCCACCTTCCCATTCTCTGGCTCTTCCCTATCTCTCCCCCCACCTGCCCCCTCGCTTCTCCCCTCCGGGCCTTGCCTCTTGCTTCTCCCTCCAGGTCTCTCCCCCAACCACCCACTGACTTCTCACCCCATCCCTCATCCGTTCTCTTGCTTTCCCCACCCCCCACTTGCCCCCTAGCTTCTCCCCTCCGGGCCCCGCCCCTTTCTTCTCTTCAGCCCCGCCCCCTCACTTTCCCCTAAACTCCGCCCCTCATTTTCTACCTAGTCCCGCCCCCGCTTATCTCCCAGCCCCGCCCCCTTGCTTCTGTCTGGCGGCCTCCACCCTTTCCTTCAGCCTCGAATTCCTGAATCCTATCTCGTAGCTTCTCCCAGTCCTGTTCTCACTTCCCCTCTGGTCCAGACCTCTTCAGTCTAGTCCACTTCCTTTCTCTCTCAGGCCAGGCCACTACCTACTCTTGACTGTGCTTCTTCAGTTCGTTCCTTTACCGTCACCCCTCTCCCACCCGCCAGCATCCTTGAAAAACCTCCCCCCCACCCCGCCGCCCGCACCCCACGCACACTCTGGAGGCTTTGGCAGCTGCACTAACGCAGACTCCTTGATTCACTCTCATTGAGTCTTCAATGAAATGCCCGTGTCTCCTAGGTGGCTCATAGTGCAACCTTCAAGGGTGAGCGCGAAGCTCTGCTCTGGGCATGCGACGTGGTGGTTCGGGTGTGTGTAGCTGCCAGCGGTGTCTGTCGGCTTGCCCCTCGCTAGCGGGCTCCAGAGATCCTGGACCAGTCTGCACTCTCATCTGCTCTTTCTCGCTCTCCCCATTCCTGCGGGTCTGCTGCCCCGTCTTCCGGTTTAAATTCACACCTGAGGCCAGATTGTAGTGTTACAAATACGGTTCTGCTGGGGGACTTTCCAAACGTGAATATTTCCCGCTCTGGAAAGGAAATAAGAAGTTCAGGCTAATCCCTGTTGGGGATTTTCCCCTGGATTTTTCTGTTCAGTGACTGGTCTGATGATGACTTAAAAGTCAGTCTGGTCAGATTCTTTGAAAAAGAGAATGATCATTTTGGACACTTTATGGCAAATGCATGGCCCTCAATTATTGGTGAAATCCCTGAAAACAGCAATGGGTGATTTTTTTTTCAAACGAAAATTTCCTCTGAGAGTTCTTAGTTGTTGCATGATCCATTTTTTGTTTCAAGGAAGGGGAAATAGTTTTTTTTGTATAAAGATGTCAGATCAGGTTATGACCAGATAATAAAATCAGATCAATGATTTGGACCCAAACCCAGACTCTGGTTTTGTAAGTGACAAGTATATCCCAGGGATCTTTGTTTCTGGAGAAACATAATTCTTTATTCCAGGGCTGGTAGGAAACTCTCACTCACTATAGATACAGTATATACATTCTTATTTTTATGGTTACATAAAAGCCACCTTTTTGACTTTGTAATGCTTGTAAAACTTTAATTACTGACAACTTTCATTTGGTTCTCATTTACAGTGTAATCTATAATTGACATCAGATTAGTTTCAGTTTTCTTGTTAAAAGCAGAAGTAACTGATTTTGTGAGTTGGGGTAGAAATGTGATTAATGTTTTAGAAGGACTAGGTTTTAATTACAACGTTTGTGTCAGGTGTATTTATATATTAATCAAGCCTAGTTGGCAGGTCTGGATGTAAGCCTTTTCCTCCTGTAGTGGAGGTTTTGTCCTTCCTCCCAAATTATTTTTGGACTCAGAAGTTTAGATGTCATAGATGCAGAAATGCTTTAAAGAGTTTTTGGATGGTGTTTGCTATTGCAGGATCAGGTGATGAGTGTTCTTTCCAAAACTCCTTTTCCCTTTCCCCCAGCTGACATTACTCATGATCTAACGGGCTTTGTGAGTGTGGTCCTCCCTGCAGCAAGGTTGAGAATTTAGCGTTGATTGCAGACACACTTGATGCCAGTTGTCTGATGAACGTTAATTACGTGGAAACGTCAGAACTAGATATTTTGTTGGCGGTAGAATAGGTTTTGGCCTCATCTTTGAGCTTGTCGGGGGGAGTTTGAAATCTCTGCACTTCTGGCGTCTTGGGAAGCCATCTTTCAAGAGGTGTGTACTTTTGTTACAGGTTTCAGAGTTTATTTCTCTGTGCGATATTTGAAAAAATGATTTTTTAAAACGAGGGCTGTTCTAACCAGTCAGCGAATACCACACAGGGCACAGTTCAATGGAAAGTATGAAGATGTTGGATTATGAAAGAGTATTTAGAACTTTGGTGTCCACAGTTGTATTAGGCGGTTGGTGGGCTTAGAATTAGGAGACTTGATTCTGGTAAGATCAGCCATTAACTGCATGATATAGAACAAATTATTTAACCTTTCTGGGTTCTCAGTTTCCTAATATATAAAATGAGATTTCAACTCCATTATAACGTTCTTTCCTTCTCAAGGATATGTCAGTTTGTCTGCCGATTTATTCCAAATTACCGTTTGCTTATGCTTGCTTTTGTTAAGTCTCAGTCCTGATATTCAGAATTTGTGTTAAAACACAGCCCTCCTGTTTGATTTATGTCAAGCATTACTTTTGTGTATTGGTTACATTTATGATTTCTTTTTTTCCCCTTCCTCTGGAGCCCTTTCTGTTTTTGAAAACTATTGGGTCGTATGTTGCACTGCTTTGGAAAGCTGGCCTAAACTAGTAGAAGAATGTGTGAGTCTTTATATTGAAATGACTATGATTTTAATGAGTGTCTTTGTGGTATTTTAACAGGAAAATCATTTTAAAATGGTTTCAGTAGGTTTGGAGCATAATATGTACAAAATCAAGTGATCTTGGTTGAAGAGCATTATCTTGCAGACATTGTAGAGTCCCCTGGCAAATCAAACACTTTGGAAACATATTTTATTTTAAATTCAAGCAGGATTTGCAAAAACTTTGTTCTTGCACGGTGCACATATGAATCCCAGATACATTATTTAGGTCACTTTGGTAAAAATGGAATTTTGAGCTCAGGGTTCCACAGTGCTCTTCAAACAGATCAAATTTTATTCTAATGTTAACCAGTTAGTTGAAATACCAAATGCCTAAACTTTTTCTTTGGTGCTTTTATGCCTTGAAATACTCTCATATTTCCTTGTGTTTTTATATTTTTTGGAGTGTTGACTGTATATTGGGAAGGGAGAAAAATTCTAATTCCAAGTAGAGAAGGGGAAACCTTCTTGATAGCCTATGGAAATAGAAACTATTTTTAGAGTTATAGCACATGTAATGTAAGGCTGACTTGTTTTTGGCATCCAGATGATCCAGCTTGGAGAGAAGTAGTTTGTAGTCATAACTGTTTATAACATTAATTGATCAATCACAGGTGACCTAATTGATTTGAAATAGGTTTTTCTTAAGAAAGATTAAGAAATCTGTGAAGATGTTGCCTGTGTCAATTTGTACCTGACTTATGTAAGGTGGGCAGAACTCTTGTTTTAACAACTGGAACTGTGATAAGAAGGAATAAGTCGTCACTAGTTACCCAACATTCACCCTCCACCTGAGTTTGCCTAACATTTTCCTTAGCATCGGCCTCAAGTTCATGCAGGTGCAGCCAAGGTACTTCTTTGAGCCGAATCATCTAAGGATGTGGGATGGGCTAGATCAAATGCTACTGCAAAACTTATACTGCAGTTGTACTTTAAAAGCAATAACCCTCTGCCAAGTACACGTTCTGGTATTGATTTTTGGGGGAAAATGTTTATTTGGCTGCTTGGGGTCTTAGTGGCAGCACACGCGGCATCGAGCACGGAGTCTTAACCACTGGACCACCAGGGAAGTCCCTCTCGTGTTGATTTTGTGATTTGGTCACATCTGTGCTGTCTTAAGAAAAACCTTTTTTTCCGCCCCTCAAATCCATTAAAAAAGAATTTTCTTGACCCACCTAACTGGCTTGAGAAATGAACTATTTCGTATGCTCTATCTCTCTGTATTTTTCTAGTAGTTGTGATTTATCAAACTAGCATTTTTTATTTCAATCCTATTTCTTTGTCAGTTCAAAAACTCCTATTTTTGCAAACATGAAAGTTGTGTCTGAACTTCAGGTTTTTTCTTCTCTTCTGCAGATTTCCCTTTTCTGTTTGGTCACATTGGCCGGTTCTAATGTAGAACATTGGGTGACGGGGAGGGTCCTGGGGCCTGAGTCACTTGTGAAGAAGTATTTCCTCCTGAATTAAAAAAGAAAGAAAGACTGACCCATAATATTTCAACATCAGCTCACTGATCCAGTTCACTAGCCTGGCTGTTCTGTAACATGTTTGTGGGCACTGGTTAAAAGTTAAAATAGCTGAATCGTGCATTTTATTGAGTACTCAGAGCAAAAAGGAAGTTCAAAAAACCTTCTAAAATGGATGAAATAATTTGGTGCCTGTGCCATGCTCTGATTTTCTGGGTGAGAAACCCTAACATTTAGGATTCTCGAATCAATTTTTGTTATTTCAAAACCATTTCAGTGACTAAATGTTTTTAAACAAAGAGT